GGATGTTGACATCTTGACATGTAGCAATAATTAACTTGCCTTGATATTTGAATTTCAGTGTTGTACCATTTACTAGAATTAGGGGTTGCATAGCATTTCGAAATCCTCGAAAGCATTGTCTAAGAGCCATGAAAAAGAATTTGAAGCAATTCTCGTCCTCCGTCTCAATAAAAGATGACAACCCAGGATTAGTTTTCTCCATGTTATGGCAATGCCTAGCCAATTTAGTATAGTTTTCCTCTGTCGATCTCATTAAATCCTTCAATGCACATTCTTTGACCTTCCAGGCCTTCTAGTATTTCATGACTACTCCATACTCTCGATTGATGTCGTTAATGATGTCTAATTGTCTGTAGATTGTCCATGAATCCTGATACTTGTGCATTATCTATTGACCAATAAACCAAGCTCGAGTTTACCTATGATCATTTCGACAAACTCCCACTTTACAAGTATGTTCTCGTGTATATTTGCGAGCTACAAAGCACTCATTTGTGTCCATCTTTGTCGTTCGCAAATGCCAACTGCAATTGTCGTCTACGCAACCGATCGTCAACAATGACTTGTTCGATTTTTTTCGCTTTGAATTCAAAGTTGTATTTCTGTGCAATTAGGTGCACAACTTCCTGCAAATCTTTTTTCGTTTCAAACAGTTGCTCGACATACAAATCATCAATATTAGAAACCACACGCGAGGAGTTAGAGGACAGTTTACTTGATCCAGCCTCTGAGGTCCCACCTCTCTCATGTCTCTGCCGGGATAAAACAATCAAATTCTCATTCGTAAAAGTATTTACATTTTCATTCTCGTTGTCGTGAACTACGAAGGGAATTATGTGAACAACTGTACCTGGAAAATAACCATATCATCTTCATGAACTATCTCCATCGTATCTCAAAGATCATTAACATTGTGATCTCCTCCATCCGAGTCTACTTGTTCACCTTCGGCGACATCCTTCCTCACTAAAATCACGCAAAGAGGAGCTGTGTGCTTATTGTTCAATTCAAACAGATAATTCACTTTAGCTTCAAAAGAAATCATTGTAGGTAAAATTGGAACGGATGCATGCTCGCTGAATTTAAATCTCAGTTCCATGTCATACTGAGAGGGCTTAACATTCAGCTTGTTCTGTAAATCATTATAGAGTTTTTCATATGATGTACCTGATGTTATGGAAATCGCGATACCACCATGTCTATCATTCGTCCATTTCCATACCCATGAATCTCTTTTGTCCAATTCAAAATCACCAAAGTAATAAACTGAGACTACAACCATATCTGTATGACGAAATAGAATTTTTAATTACAAGAAAAATATCAATGACAATAAAAATAGCAAAAAAAAGTCGAAAAAAAACTGGCTAAGCCGGTCATTACAGCCGACTGTTTACTATTTAACAATCGGCTGTCTGACTGTAAACAACTGAAAACAATCGAATAGTCGACTGTAAACAACACTTGTCTGGCTGCATTTTCGTATATGCAGATATTTTTTTTTCATCAAATGCTTATTTTTTACAGATCTGCTAAAATTATTTATCTACATTAACATTATATGTCGAAATAAAATTTATCGATTAAAACGTAAAATAATTTAATGAAAAGAAAATTAAATTTGCGTATTTATACTTACTGATCCGGCGAGATTGATATCAACAAAATTTTCGACTTTCGTGTTCGATAAATTTTTCAGTTTTTGTGGTTGAAGCAGATGAAAGATGAGTGTTTTTATCTGTATTGAAGTAAACAAATAATAAAAGTTAGATGATTTTGATGTTTTAAGTGGGAAGTGTTTGATTTTCAATTGTTAACTAAAAGGGTAGTAATGTCTTTTAAATAAAATAAACTTATGTAATTGTATAATTTATTTAAGGGTATTTTTGTCTTTTACCACTCAATAGGCCATTATGATACTATTCCTTTGTTAACAAGTCAAAGTGAAATTTTTCTTGATTAACCATGTCATTTTCAAAAGTACCCCATGGCAGTGGCGGAATGCGTGATACTTAAAGGGGAAGGATAAATTATATTTGCTTGGCTATGGAATGCCTACCCTATTCATGGCCAAACCCCTGGTATTTATAGGCAAAGGGCACCGCTAGATGCATGACATGTGTAATCATCAGACGGTGTGAGGCATCTGCATGTAGGTGTCCATCAATCTCTTCTTAGGTGGGCAGGTAATTAATTCGGCTGATTCTGGTTTGAGATACGGCAGAAACGTCACATCCATCATTCCTCAAGATATAAAGAAGATCTTGGTTAGATCTCTGAAATTGGCGGCGGATAGGTGATTATATTCTCAATGTGAGGCCACGCCTCGATTGAATTAGCTAGGCCCATGCACTTCAGAAGTGACGCCTCGGATGGATGATATTTGGAAGTACTTCCTTCTTACGCGTTTTGACATTCGGCGCGAGTTGAGATGATGTGCGAAGGGCATAACAGTGGTCTCCCAAGTTCTGGGATGAATACTCATATCATATGTGGACTCGTAAGATCGATTATGAGTGTATGGTTGGTGCTTAGATTGCGTATGGTTGATGCTTAGATTGCGTGTTATTTTAAAGCTTTTAAGTAGATAAGCTAATTGAGTGAGATCACCTCAACTAAGGCATTGACCCACAGGGGACAATGTATGGGAGATGGATGAAGCTTTTTAGTAGATAAGCTCATCTCAACCCGGGCATGGACGTACAAGGGAACGATGTGTGGGAGATGGCTAAAGCTTTTCAGTGGATAATGTAACGATCCAATTTTTTTAAAGGGTTGAATCGCTACCAAAATTTTCACTTGAATTTGGACAACTTGGAATGCCATTATATATAATTAGGAAAATGTAATTTACTCAAATTTGTAAAAAGAAGTAAATATTAGTTTTTATATATATATATATATATATATATTTAGGAAAAATATCTATAGATATATTCTTGTTTCTTCGCCATATCCTTCGACGTGTACATAAAAATAGCATATAAAATTTATCTGTTCTTAAAGAATTCGATATAAAATCCCTTATTAACGTGTGAAATAATTTTCCATTTGACTGCACGCATACGCATGTAGTAATGAATGCCATATATATACATGTATATTATATTATATATAGTACAAAACCAATTCCCAATTCAAAGCATACTAAACTTTCTCTTTCCTCTATGCGTGGATCACACCCCAAGTTGTGAGAAAACAGCCAACAATTTGCCTTATTTTATTAAAAGAAAAACTTCCCACCCTACATTACCAGGCTATGGAATAGCCTGTTTACAATTAATACGTTAAATACGTGTTCAGTAAAATTGGTGGGTAAAATAATATTTAACTCAAACGAAAACTGCATCTGGGGAATTCAACTATTGAAAAGCATATTCGATTTCAGAAAATTTTGATAAAATAATTAAATAAATGGATTCGATCATATGACTAATTTTCACTACACTCTGCAGTAAATTCACACATGCACAAGTTTAATTCTATCCTATGCAATTAATCCTAAGTACAATTTTTGCTCCCATTAATATAAAATAACACTAAAGGAAAATCAGATAATTTGATACGAACTTTTAACCAAAAACTCAATTTTAAAACCTCCATGTCAAATAAACATAAACGATAAATCAGTTTTAAAATAAATGTCTATGACAAAGAAATAAAATTACTTGTTGAAATCTAGATTTTCATCAGCAAAAGCAAGCACAACCACACCATCGAACCATCACGCTCCGACACGACCCGATCTAACCTGTATGGTGTAGGAAAAGGGTGAGTACATGGAAATACTCAGTAGGATATCAAATTTAAATGGTGTAATCCCGAATAATAATTTTAAAACATGTGTAAGAATATCATACCGTCGCATAATTTTAAAATCCAGTAAGAGCTCACATCATAACATTTCATTTCATTTCATTTCATTGTACCGGAATGGCCATATCATTCATATCATACATTGATATCATAACTTTACTTTCATGAGTATAAAATTCGTCAACATGTAAAAAACAATAATTAAACGGGACATTAAAAAAAATGCTGCACCTCATATCCTACCTTATTAAATTGCTTTAATTTTTGGAAGTCAAAACAAAATCACGTTCCCGTCTTTTCTTTTCTTTTCTTTTCTTTTCTTTTCTTTTTCTGCCTCTTCTATCACTGTAAGCAATGCACTTATATTTTTGTATCTCTATTTTCGTGCATAATGTGTTTATATGCATAGACTATAGACAGTTATACCTTATTTTTAAAGAGTTTGTGTATTGTGAGGGAAACATGTAGAAGTGGATGTGATTATAGATAAAAATACGAAAACAGAATTTTGAAGAAAGATATCTGACCAAGTCCTATCACTTAAATCCGTGCATTTGCCGTCCACTTGGTGATGTTTCTTTGGTTCAAAATGCTTATTAAATAAAGAAAATAATCAGTTTCTAACCACTACTCAGTACTCATGTCTACCCATATTTTCCTCTCTCTCACTCACGTAGCTTTCCTCAGCCTCTCTCTCTATCTTTAATTTTTTTTTTATATTATATCTAACAAACAAATCAATTACTCACATACCCCTACCAAAAATCTTGCACGAGAATCCTCTAAATACAATAGATACTCAATAATAATAATAATAATAATAATAATAATAATAATAATAATATTATTATTATTATTATTATTATTATTATTATTTTAAGGCTAAATCTTTCGACCTCAATAATTTAAGCTCCATTAATCCAAATCCACTTTTTCTCGAGCCTAACATGCATGATTAAATACGAGCTTTCCAACGAGACCAATATTCATATACTTATTGTCGCTCCGTCAATATCTACATTTTAACCCGAATAAAATTCAATTTTACTTTTTATATATTTTAGTCCCTAAACTTTTAAAATATTAAAACTTAGCATACATAAATCAAATTTTATTCTATGAAAATTTGGGTTACTACAATCTTCCCTCCTTAAAATATTTTCGTCCTCAAAAATTTACCTTGGTTACTCAAAGAGCTCTGGATACTTGGCTTTAAGCTCCTCTTCTTTCTCCCAAGTTGACTCATCAAGTCCATGATTTCGCCACTGGATCTTGACTAAGGAAACCTCTTTGTTTCTGAGTTGATGTAGCTTTCTCTCCAAAATCATCATCGGGGTTTCTTCATATGATAAGTCCTTTTGTACATCCAATGTCTGGTAACTTATTACATGATTGGGGTCATGAATATATTTTCTGAGCATCGATATATGAAACACGTTATGCACTGCTGCAAGTTCAGGGGATAAGGCAAGTCGGTAAGCCATAACGCCAATCCTTTCAAGGATTTCGAAAGGTCCAATAAATCGCGGTCTCAACTTTCCCTTCTTGTCAAATCTCAATACGCCCTTCATGGGTGCTACTTTAAGGAAAACTTTGTCGCCCACACTAAATTCCAAATCCTTTCTCCTACGATCTGCATAACTCTTCTGTCGATCCTATGCAGTCTTTATTCTGGCTCTAATTTTGTCAACTGACCCAACTGTTCGTTCAATAATTTCAGGACCTAAAATTATGTTATTTCCAACCTCATCCCAATGGATAGGGGATTTGCACTTCCTTCCATAAAGAGCTTCGTATGGGGCCATACCTATAGTGGCCTGGAAGCTATTGTTGTAAGCAAATTCCACTAAAGGCAGGTGTGTCTCCCAACTACCTCCAAGATCCAAAACACATGCCCGCAACATATTCTCAAGGGTTTGAATGGTTCTTTCTAATTGTCCATCTGTCTGTGGATGATAAGCAGCACTAAACTTCAGTTTCGTCCCCATGGCTGTCTGCAAACTTTTCCATTAGACGTGAACCTCGGATCTCTATCTGAAACAATAGTGACTGGAACTCCATGCAATCTGACTATCTCTTTGATGTATAGCTGTGCAAACTGTTCCATGTTGAAGGTTACCTTGATTGGTAGAAAATGGGCTGACTTTGTCAAACGATCAACCACTACCCGAATAGCATTGTGACCTTTTGCTGTCCTTGGGAGGCCTACCACAAGTCCATCGTTATATGTTCCCACTTCCATTCTGGAATATCCAATGGTTTTAGTAGTCCTGATGGTCTTTGGTGTTCTGCCTTGACCTGCTGACAGATAAAATATTTTTCAATGAATTGACCAATTCCTCTCTTCATATTTCTCCACCAAAATGTATCTAGGAGATCTCGATACATTTTCGTACCACCTGGATGTGCTGAATACGGGGCAGAGTGAGCCTCTTCCAGTATCTCATTTATTATACTTTCATCTTTAGGTACACATAACCTTCCTTTGAAAGTCAGGGCATTATCTGCAGACATTTCAAATCCCATACGTTTGTTTGTGCCAACCTCAGCCTTTATCTTCTGTAGGAATGGATCCTTATTCTGTGCCTCCTTGATTCGATCAAGAAGAATAGGCCGAATCATAAATGCTCTTACTCTTGCTGTAGTCTGAGTCGGTGGCGTGATAACTTCCAATCTCAATTTCTCAAAGTCTCTTACCAAGTGTTTCTGCACTGTGGGTAGAACTGTTAACTGTGATCCTGTCTTTCTGCTTAGGGCATTTGCAACTACGTTAGCCTTACCCGGATGGTAATGAATCGTGCAGTCGTAATCTTTTACTAGTTCCAACCATCTCCTCTGTCTCATATTCAGTTCCTTCTGTGTGAAGAAGTGTTTAAGACTCTTGTGGTCTGTATAAATTTCACACTTCCCACCATAGAGATAATGACACCATATCTTTAAGGCATGAACTACCGCTGCAAGATCCAAGTCGTGTGTTGGGTAGTTTTGTTCATACTGCTTCAACTGTCCCGAGGCATAAGCAAGCACTTTTCCATGCTACATAAGTACACAGCCCAAACCATGCTTTGAGGCATCGCTATAGATCACAAATCCCTCTGAACCTTCAGGTATCGTCAATACAGG